TCTTCTATATCGCTGATTCTCTCTTCTGCCTCATTTATCCTAGCAGTTAGTGCCCCCATTTTTAATTGCACCTCATTAATAGCCTTTTTGATTTCGACTTGGTTAGATTTTAGTTCTTTTATTTCTCAGAAAGGGTTTTATGACCCAAGGTCTTATCGAGTAATAAGAGGAAAGAGGGGCAGAAAGGAAAAATTACCTAAGTGACAAAAAGTGACTGTCAAATATATCAAGAAGAGTTTATACAATGTCATCAGGAGTGGAAAGTTCTACCCACTGCTCCATTATAGAAAGAAACATCAGACAGCCATCCTCAGGCACGCAGTGCGTGAAGGCATAGTGAGTGGAACATTCTGGATGTTTCTTACACTGCTGCTCAGGATAAGCAGGAGGTGAGAACAACTAAAATGCTTCTCCTATCAAAGTGAGCCCTGGTGGTCTTTTTCAGGATATGGAGTCAGCGCTGTGGGCATTCGCCGCCCGCCCAGAGCACAAGTGCTCAGACAGCACGTTCCTGGTGCTCATGTCTCACGGAATCCTGAGTGGAATCTGTGGGACTACGTTCAGCTCGGAAAACCCGGATGTGCTACCTTATGACACCATCTTCCAGATCTTCAACAACCGTAACTGCCTCAACCTCAGGGACAAACCCAAGGTCATCATCATCCAGGCCTGCAGAGGTGGTGAGTTCTGAGATGGAAACCCCAAAGGTCATGAAGGTGTCTGGGGAGAACTGTGATGTGTGCTTTGTTTCTAGAGGAGATGATCTTCAACCCCATTCAGGGCAAATAAACTAGACTGAATTAGTAGGAAACTCCCCTGAGGGGGCTGGTATCATGAGCATTTGTCCCATCGGGTGACAAATTTCTGTTCGACTTAATCCAGGGAAGTGGTGAAGAAGACCAACAGAATTACTAAATCAAAGTTAAACATAAATATCCAAATCCTGGGACAAAATGATTTTAATGAGGGCTTTCCTAGTTAATGTTTTACAGTCATTTTGACAATCTCTGGCTTGAGAAAAATTTCCTTTGAAAGTGAGCATATTATGTAATAGCAGCATCCTTTTTTAAAAATTTTTTTTATTGTTATGTTAGCATCCTTTTTTTTTTTTTAAAGATTTTATTTATTTATTTGACAGAGAGAGAGAGAGAGAGCAGGAACACAAGCAGGGGGAGTGGGCCCCCTACGGAGCAGGGAGCCCGATGTGGGACTCGATCCCAGGACCCTGGGATCATGACCCGAGCCGAAGGCAGACGCCCAACGACTGAGCCACCCAGGCGCCCAGCATCCTTTTTTTTTAATCAGGCGTATTGAAAAGGAAGTGAGTAGGAAGGTGAGGGAACTTGGGATGGCAGTCAAAAGAAACTTCCTTTTTCCTGACTTCCGACTGTCCTTTAGCTTTGTGGAGCAATGTTTGGGGGGAAAAGGAAACAAACATAATTTACCTAAAAAATGTAACTATCCTCTCTGAAATTAGGCAACTAAGGCTTTAACTTCTATTCTCTTAGCAAATGGTTTCTTCTAGTTTTGTGATGCTGTCAGCATTAATTGGCACATTGCTGAAGGACCCTAGAGAAAGGCAGAGCACTGTGTGTGTGTGTGTGTGTGTGTGCGTGCGTGTGTCTAACTGGTTGGAATAATTACTTAAAAACAAAGAGGTGGGCAATTGCTCTAGTCATCCTGAGAGGCACACAGTGTGTAGAAAGTTGATATCTCCACAGAAAGTCTTGGGGAAGTGTGGGTCAGTGACTCAGCAGCGGCCTCGGCCAACAGCTTCTCACATCAACCTCTGCTCCTGGAGAGTGATGCCGTCCACAAGGTCCACATTGAGAAGGACTTCGTTGCTTTCTGCTCCTCGACCCCACGTATGTGTCTTTCCAGTGCACACAGGGATTTGTGGGCCTGAGGTCATCTCTGAATGATTCTAGAAAATCAACATTGGCTCCGTGCAGCAATGAGCCAAAGCAAATTTTAAGTCTGGTCGATATATTTTAAATCTTGTCTCATCTGTTCTATGGGGATGAAGACTCTGTTTTTCCCCTTGCTTTCTAAGATTATGCTTTTATTATAAGTGTTGTGCTTTATAGTCAAAGGTACATCAAACATTAAAACAATCTAATGCAAGGAACCCCCTTTATCATATACCATTTTAAAACAAATGATTGATTCGTTTTTCTACTAAATCCATTCAACATTTTGAGAAGAGTTTTTATGGATCCTGGGATTGGCTGCCCTTTCTCAGATGGTCAAGTGTAAGCCTTTTTCTCCGTACTCCCCATCTGGTGCTGTCTGGATGGTGATATCACATGCCCCAGCACAATGGGGATACCCCTTTAAAAGGAGTAGAAAATGATACCTTGGGGCTTACTTGACCTACTAACAGTAGAGCAGTGTTTAGTTCTTGACCTCTACGTAATCATCTGAAGAAGCCTTACATTTGGGTGTTTCTAATTTGCAAATTTTTCTTTTCAGTCTTTTTATTTTTTTATTATTATTTATTTTTTTTGAAGATTTTATTTATTTATTTGACAGAGAGAGAGACAGTGAGAGAGGGAACACAAGGAGGGGGATTGGGAGAGGGAGAAGCAGGTTTCCCGCTGAGCAGGGAGCCCGATGCAGGGCTCATCCCAGGACCCTGAGATCATGACCTGAGCTGAAGGCAGACGCTTAATGATTGAGCCACTCAGGCGCCCGTCTTTTCAGTCTTTTTAAACCACTTTATAGAAATATGATTGACATATGCTAGGACTTAATGAGTTTGGAGATAAGTATTATCTGTGAAACTATCACCAAAATCCATGCCATAAACATATCCATCCCCTCCAAAAGTTTCCTTTGGGTCTGTTCACCTATTTTATTATATTGTGAAAGACAGCACAGTATATAATCTATAAATGGCCACCTGTGTAAATGTGGCAACATTCTTGAATCCTTCTATTCTTTCCTCTATAAAATGGGATAATTCCAGTTATCTCTCAAGCCTCTTTTGAGAGCCAAGTGCGTGACCATAGGGCACACAGTTAAAAGTCAGTCAATCCTAACAATGCAATGCAGCCACTGTGCCATCCTGCGGTTCTGAGGAGTTGCCCTGTTAGTTCAGTCTCTGCTAGTTTTTCGTTTGTTTGCTTCTTATCTGTGGAAAATGAGTTAATGTTGGGTTATAGCTGCTTCTCCTAAACACATCAAGATAACTACCAAGCTATGCTTTAGAAAAAACTGTAAACAAAATAAGAGTGAAGGCCACAGACCAAGGCTTACCTCCTCCTGTCTTCATAGATAACGTATCCTGGAGACACGTCACAAAGGGATCTCTCTTCATTGTACAACTCATCACATGCTTCCAAAAATATTCTTGGCGCTATCACCTCATAGAAGTATTTCAGAAGGTAAGCTTGTCAATCCTCTTCTAGTCATTTGTTTGTGCAGGAAGGCTTTGCTAGGTGACAGTGGCAGAACTGGTCAGGCAAACACAATGTGGAATGGGACTTGGTTCCCGTCATCTAGGTGTTTAAAACCTGATTTAGGAAATAAAAAAAAATGCACTGTAGCAGGAGATCAAAATATAAAAAATAATATAAAATATAAGCTTGTGTGTCATGGGGTGTAAGTTCTTAAATTTCAGAGTGGGAGGTATTTGCATTAACTTTCATTGTTTACTTTATTAAATAAATATGGAATGGGTGGCATACTTGGGGGCCTTTCCTGGTAACAAAGGGGCAAATGAGACACATGCATGTGAGACGCATGGTCACTGAACAAGTAGGTCAACAAACAAATGTGTGGTTACAGATTGTGATGGGATCTGTAAAGAAAAAGACTGAGGACATGTGAAAGAGAAGACAGGAGAAGACTGTGAATGGAGTGGATCAGAGACCTGATGCTGCTTCCCCAGCTCTGGACACTCCTTAGTCGTCCCTCCTTCCCCCCTCCATGCATTCAGTATATGTACTTATAGGTTCATTTTTTACCTGTATTTACTCACTCAAATATGAATTTACAAAGGCAGGGATTTGCTAAACGCCTCAGCATTCAGGCATATAGAAATTAATATTCGTTAATGAATAAATGTATGAATAAATAAATAGATGCTCCCTCCTTTTTTAGGGAACAAGGGATTGGTATTAAGAACATGGAAAGTGTGGTTGTATTTTCATTCAAAAACACAGAGAACAGTTGTACTCTTCCAGAAGAAGGCTGTACCAATAATAAATTGGAGAAGACAGCAACATGACATGAGTTGGGGTCTCTGAATAGGAACTTAGCAAGTTAAGTCCTTTGGATGAGTAGGATTTAGACCTTGCACTTGGAAGGGCATTTCCAAGAAAAGACTAGAAATAATCGATCTAGATTAAGTAGGATCTCGTTGATCGGCCTGTGGCAAAAGACTTCAGGTCAGCTTGGTGACGGGGATGTGAAAGTTGCTCTGTGTTCTGGACTTAAGAACAAAATCCTGGGATTCGAGTCTCATTGAATTGAGGAGTTAACCCTGGTGGGCGTAGAAAGTAGAGAATTCTCAAGATCCAGTTCCCATGAACAGACCCCAAGGGAAAACTGATTATCAGATCAGAAACAGAAAACAGGAAATGGAGTTTGAAAGGGCTTGGATTAGGCACCAAGTGTTTGAGATAGAGTGTATTCTGACATAGGGTGTCATTTTTAACAGGTGGGGCAGCAGTGGCAAAGAATTTGAGTGTCCATGGGGCTGGCCCCATCAACCCTAGGAGCACCCTGCATTCCCAGAATTTTCTGGCTCATTCTTTGAAAGATCTTTTCTGAGAATTCACAAGAGGCATGGCTCATCTTACCCCTCTTTTTGTTTTTAGGTTCAACAATCATTTGAAAAACCAAATGTTAAAGCCCAGATGCCTACCATTGAACGAATGTCCATGACAAGACCTTTCTATCTCTTCCCTGGCAACTGAAGATGGTAAGTGTCAAGAGTTGTTTGCAAGTGAAGTAAATGGGAGAGTAATATTGGTGGTGAGGTCCAATGACCAAGTGGCAGCTGACAGTGTAGATGGTCACATTGGTGTTTCTTGTTGATGTAGTTTGGCGGTTAGTTGCTGTTTTTTTACTCCACTTATGTGCATCTGGATCTTACCTCCACCTCCACGACCAATCCATCCGTGAGTTGAGCAAAACCAAGTTAGGAAGCAATGAACTATGCAGGACACAGGGTAGTAATTATTAAAATAGAAATTTCCTCACGTTTCCATTATGACTTTCATTCATCTCTCTCATTCCCTCCCTTGCCCACCCCTCCCACATGCCGAGTTACCACACCCTGCCTCAGATCCTGAGAACGCAGGAAACAGAGGAGCAAGGAGAAAGCAGGACTTTGGTCCTCTGAGTGCATATGCATTGCATCGCTCCTCCAAGCCACCATCGCCAGACAGTACCAAAGCTGCCCTGTGTAGAGGTGGAGGTTCTGCACCACGCTCACCGAGTGGGTCTCACACTCAGAGAATGCTCTCACACCTGCACGTGCTGCTCACAAGCCCCTGTGAGCACTCACCTTCACGTGTAGTACTATCACTGTTATTATTATTTTTGGTCAAAATATTTTAGGATGGGTACATCAAGGTTAGACTCAAAATTATTTCACTCACTCACAGCAGCTTTATATCGCTCTGTATTATAGGCAATTATGAGTCTCCCTCTCAGAAACATAATTTAAATTCTATTTATCGTGAGGTTTATCTCAGTAGTTTCAATATGTGCTCAGGCCATCTCCTAACCCTGGTTTCTGACACAGTCACTGCACGGTTGCCCAGATATTTCAGTATAACAGCTTTTGAGGCCTAATTAGTCCAGTAGAACCACATTTGGGAACTGAATTATTTGCGGGACTAGTATTTATCAAGCACATACTATGTTCCATGTTCTGATCCAGATGCTTGCAATACACCAGGCAAGAAAATAAGTGGAGTCCTTGCTCTGAGAAAGCCATGCTCGAGTGAGAGGGGAGACAGACTCTAACTGCACAAGGAAATAGATCCTGTGTCAGAGAGGGAGAAGAGCTAAGGGAAATAAAGGAGGCTAAAGAGACACAGACGGTGGATGCTGTCTTGCTACAGATAGATTATTCAGGCGAAGTTTCCTTCTAGTGATAAAATGGTAAAGTCAGAACAAGGAATGGACAGACTGGGAGGTGGTGGTGAACCTTGTGGTCCCTGTGGGGGGAAAAGTGTCACAGCTTCAGGGAACAGCACGTACAAACACCCTGAGGCAGAAATGTGCTTCATGTGTCTACAGAAGTGCTAAGAGGCAATAGCCTGGAGGAGAATGAGACTGGAGAAAATGGCATAGACAAATTCAGAAAAGCGGTGGGAAGCCTGGTCACATGGACCTTGGTGGTCATGTGGTAAAGGTTTTAAATGTTTTATCCCAAGTGAGACAGACAGAACCCTTCAAGTGCTTTTGCACAGAGAAATGACATAATCTAGTAACTGAGATTTTGCAAACATCACCTGGAGTACTTTTGGGCAAGAAGACTACAAGGGTCACCAATATAAGCCAAAGGACGTGGCAAAAGGTACCTGGAAGAGGATGGAAACAGAACCATGAGAAGGGACGGACTGAGGTCTTCCCGGGATTGCTATCTTGACATTCTGCTCTTTTTCTCTCCTTCAGGCGGTAGTGGGCAGTCCAGCCCTTCTTGACCAACTTCGAAAAGCACCTTTGCTAGCACAGCACGTTCATGTGACCGTTCGTATTTCAATAAAAATGAAAACAAATGAACTGTGTCTGTTACGTCCTCTAGCGGAGAATAGGATTTCAGTTAAAATGGTGGCTGAATGGAAATGAAGTGGAAGATGTGAGCTGGATTTTCCAGCTTTATGACTCAGAGAGTGTGTGCACTTCGCTGGGGGAACATAACTGGCTCTGTGACTTGCCCTCAGCAATAAGGTGATGGGAGGCAGTACCTATCCGGAGACAAGAACTGCAAATTGGTCAGCTCCTCATTTGTATACTTATCAAACCCTGGATCTATAGAATGATCTAGAAGAAGTTTTCTAATTTATTACTTAACCAACATTATAGGTGGAGCTCATCTTTTCTTTCCTTCAGTAAACTGATTTCAGCAAATTAATCCCATGTATCTTTCTTCCTGCTATACATTTTTCCTGTTAAGTACTTTTCCCCCAGACTTTTGCACTTTTCACATTTCAGGAAAATTTTATCTGTTAGCAAGCCCTTGGCTATTGTCTAAAATAAGTTGGGGTTTGGTCCAAGATGGTGTAAACTCAGCATATTTGTACAGATATGCAAATATAATTAGATAAATCACAGCAAAGTGCAAGGGAGTGTCAGCAGTAGAAGGAGTAATGTCCACTCTTCTGGAAGGATGAATGTTGGTAGAGGAATTTTGGCTGCATGGCCATTGCAAGGAGGTATACCACTTCTGCTATGTCCACAGAGAATTCTGGATAGACATTTTAGTACATAGCTGAATGAAATTAAAAAAAAATAAAAGGATGCTCTAGATGTCAAATATAAACATAATAGTTAAAATTTATCTAGATTAATTGTATGTCAGGATTATTGTAAAGATTTCGATTATTATTTTTTTTAAAGATTTTATTTATTTATTCATGAGAGACACAGAGAGAGAGAGAGAGAGAGGCAGAGGGAGAAGCAGGCTCCCAAGGAGCAGGGAGCCTGATGCGGGACTCGATCCCAGAACCCTGGGATCATGACCTGAGCCGAAGGCAGACGCTTAACCATCTGAGCCACCCAGGCGCCCAAGATTTCGATTATTGAAAGGGATTTTTGTGTAACTAATTTAAGCCTCATAACAGTCCTATAATTACTATCAGCATCCCTGTTTTACAGATAATGTAGAACTTAAATGATCTGTCCAAAGTCATGCAGTTAGCAGGTGAAAGCTCTAGACTTGCTCTGGAATCTGAGTTATTAACCATTGTGTGGTATTCCTTTCCAAAGCAGGGAGAGACTAAAATTGTAGGAATTCCTAATTGTAGGGGTTAACTGAATTTTGAATTGCAAGGGTTAACTAACACTACAAAGATTCGTGATGGTTTTATTTCTGGACTTGGCCTGCCCATGTAGACACATAAGTCACATCACAAAGATCCAAAAATACTTATCACAGATGCCTCATTCTCTGACTACTGAGTGGTAATATTAGAAACCCAATAACAGAAAGACTGCCTCACATCTGCATATAGCACAAAATTGAAATACACACACACACACACACACATACACGCACACACATCTTCCAACATTATAGGTGGAGCTCATCTTTTCTTTCCTTCAGTAAACTGATTTCAGCAAATTAATCCCATGTATCTTTCTTCCTGCTATACGTTTTTC